GCCTGGTCATTATAGTGGGTGGGTGTGTCTACATGAAGACTGCTGTGGCTGCTGCCTAGATAAGAGGCCCAGTACAAGACATCCATATGAATGTCAAGATAGGGCGTTTAGGACCAACATCTGTTTGTGGAAAGTGTTGCTCGCACACAAATTTTTCCAAGCCAGCTTTGCCATGCCACAGTCTCACTTGTGTCCCACTCAAAGCAACTCTTCCCAATGTGCACACAACCCCTGACTTTTTTGTTAAGCTCATGCCAACTAGTACCTGTGTTATTTAAACTAGTCTCGATTTTCCTTTACTGCGAAGGGAACAAATTGAAGACCTCCACCTATTAGTGCACCGGTGATAGCTAAGCAGCATACATGGTCTCCTAAATGTTTTCCTTGAACTTATTTGGGGATGGGGGAGAAGAGGATCCCTGCTCTGATCTAATATGTACATGGAAAAAACATCCCCCACTTCAGGCACAGTTCCCACTTCATGTGCAGTCAGGCATGAGGACAGCAGAGCTGATGCTGAACACATTGTGCTGAAAAAATAAATCTTTGTGAGTGTATTGAACCTCGTTCCTTTTTCAGTTCTGGGAGGTGATAAGTGATGAACACGGCATTGACATCGCTGGAAACTACCGTGGGGATGCATCACTGCAGCTTGAGCGAATTAACGTGTACTTCAATGAGGCTTATTGTAAGTGTTCAGCACTCTTAGAGTGTTGGCAGAGCAATTTGCAAAGCCAAACATGAAGGTTAAAATAAGTAATTAAAAAAAAATTATCCCCAAATCACTGTACGTGGGTTGGATTTTTCAGAGCGGATTATAAGCCTGTCTCTTTGACTTCTAGCAGTAATTGTTTGCATTCATTTTCTTTTTTCCTAGCCCATAAATATGTGCCTCGTTCTATCTTGGTGGACCTGGAACCTGGTACGATGGACAGTGTACGGTCCAGCAAAATAGGCCCACTCTTTCGACCTGACAATTTTATTCATGGTATGTATAGCATGCTGTCAGCAAATTAACTGGAGTCAACTGTCCCAAAATGACCTTTTGACTCCCATCTCTATAGTCTTAAAAATTTGTTAACTTTGTGGCTGTTCTTTCTGTAATTCTGTTTACAGGTAATTCAGGTGCTGGAAACAACTGGGCTAAGGGCCACTACACAGAAGGTGCTGAACTGATTGAAAATGTCATGGATGTGGTCAGGAATGAGTGTGAGAGCTGTGACTGCCTTCAGGGATTCCAGCTCATCCATTCACTTGGTGGTGGTACAGGCTCAGGTATGGGCACGCTCCTCATCAACAAAATCAGAGAAGAATATCCCGACAGGATTATGAATACTTTCAGTGTTGTGCCTTCACCCAAAGTATCCGACACAGTTGTAGAGCCATACAATGCCATCCTCTCCATCCATCAACTAATAGAGAACACAGATGAAACCTTTTGCATTGACAACGAAGCTCTTTACGATATATGTTTTAGAACTTTAAAGCTCACCAATCCCACCTATGGTGACCTCAACCACTTAGTGTCTCTAACAATGAGCGGTGTCACAACCTCACTCCGTTTTCCTGGTCAACTGAATGCGGATCTGAGGAAGCTGGCTGTTAACATGGTGCCCTTTCCTCGCCTGCATTTCTTTATGCCAGGCTTTGCCCCACTGACAGCTCGAGGTAGCCAACAGTACCGAGCCCTCTCAGTGCCAGAGCTTACTCAACAAATGTTTGATGCACGCAACATGATGGCAGCCTGCGACCCTCGTCGTGGACGTTACTTGACCGTGGCATGCATCTTCAGAGGCCGAATGTCTACCAGAGAAGTGGACGAGCAGTTGCTGGCTGTCCAGACCAAGAATAGCTCCTACTTTGTGGAGTGGATCCCTAATAATGTCAAAGTGGCTGTGTGTGACATACCACCACGAGGATTGAAGATGGCAGCTACCTTTATTGGCAATAACACAGCCATTCAGGAGCTCTTCATCAGGGTTTCTGAACAGTTCTCAGCTATGTTCAGAAGGAAAGCATTTCTCCATTGGTATACAGGTGAAGGTATGGATGAGATGGAGTTTTCTGAAGCAGAAGGTAACACCAATGACCTTGTGTCCGAGTACCAGCAGTACCAGGATGCCACTGCAGATGTTGAGGAATATGAAGAGGTAGAAGTGGAAGCTAGCCCAGAAAAGGAAGCACTGTAAAAACAATGCTAACATCAAAACATTCTCCAAATCTGCATACTGAAAGTAACAACTTTCTTAAGAATTTTTTCTCTGCATCTGGCCAAAATATATGCAGTATTACAATACAATGCTTTTGAAACTAATGACAGCTATGCTTTACTCTCCTAAACAACTGTTGTCACTGAATGTCTCCCAAAAAAGAGCCACTAGGATGACACGTTTTTTCATGACAGCCTTTCTTGTAAATGTATTTGCTTTTAGAATATTATCACCAGATACTTAATGTAATATATAGCCTCTGTGTCTCTGTATATATCTCTCAGGATCATAAGCAACAGCAAAATATGCTATCAACTCAAACTTTATTTATTCTCAGGTAAACACAATTCGTATTTTGTTTGTGAACTTGTTACTCTTTTAGGAACACACGCGCATCTGTTAAGGCCTATAAAGGAAATATCTATTTTATCAGGCATTCCACAGACCAATCTAGATCTGCAGTTCAGTTCCTTAAGTTGCAGAGGAGGGTCAGGGAGGGGAAGGGAAACAAGATGGGGTGAATGACTGAATATGTACATTCTTCCTTTAAAAAAAAAGTAGGTACTTTAGTAGTTCTACCACATTGCTGGCTTATATTATTGCAGAGCTTGTATTCATTATCGTTGTGTGGTTTGTTTCTATTTCAAACTATAGCTTGAGTTATATTAGCATACAATGTTGTGAACACTGAGTAAAAGTTTTGGTGTGGTCTTTTTTTTTTTCCCCTGTGTAGTAACTATAAATTTTCTTCCTATTGTTCAGTACAGCAAAATGGATGGAATTGTTTACAGCTAGTTAGGTGTAAGTTCAATGGCAATCACTACATCAAAACCACATCTTCACTTCATGAAAAAAAGTTTCTTGCCATTCACAGCCATCTGCTTAAGACTGTATTTATGATGTTCTTTAAAATAAAAATTATATACCATTCTATGAAATACTTTAATACTTGAAACATTTGGTAGACAAAAATCATAGTTTAGTCTTATAAGGGCTAACTTTAAATTACATGAAAAATTGAGCTTGTTTTGTTATGGTCTCAGAAGAGGGAGTTTATTACACCATGAAGAAAGTAATGCCTCATGTTTGAGTCAACAGCATTAGCATCTATCTGAACACAAACCTGAAGCCAAATCTGTAAGCATGCTGTATTCCTTCCTGTGCAGTGGGACAGACCTCCCAGACTTGCTGTGAAGACACACAGCAGCAGGAACATGCAAACACTTCCCTCAAACCAATGCAGCTGAAAGTATGACTTTCATCCCACCCCAGCCAAGAGTTAATAGTGTCTCACCCTCCATTCCTACTGTTTCGCAGTGAATGTGTGTGTCCCTCTCCCTCCCAGTAAAGTGACAAAGTGGTAACAAGAAGGACAACCAATAGCTGAGTGATCAGAGTATAGTCCAGGGACTTCTACACCCCCTTCCCCTCTTTGTACAGGAAGCCAGGTCTCCCAACTCCTGATTCACTGCTCAGTGTTTCAGCGCTCTGGTCAGCTTTGCAGATTAAATCCAGTGCAGCACATTCACAGCAAAACGTCCTGCTTCCAGTTTAGTCTTAACACTAAGCCTCATCAGACTGATTTTCACTGAATTAAGTTTTGTTCTAAGCACAAGTGCAAGATGAACACCATGATGACAGAGAATTTTAAAGCTAACAGGGTACCACTTCCAGCGGAGAGCACTGACAGAGGCATTTTTTAAATATCAAAATTATATGCCTGTATTCTCTGTTGACACAGGTTTTAATGAGCAAATTTCTTTTCAAAAGTAATCATTAATCATTGAAGTAGGCAGAAAAGTTTTAAACAATTGTCTCACTCATTGATGTACGTGAAATATCAGCATGAAATCCAACAAGAGATTTGCCTTAAAAATAAGCATATGTTGCTGCTGAATGGTAGACTGTGATAAAAACAGTCTATTTCAACAGAAGTGAAAGATAAAAGTCTCTGCAAAATGGAGTACTTTGTTTCAAGAGGAACAACACTTCCCACACATTCATTTAACAGAAATTACATTTATTAGCATGCTGCTTTACATAGAGGCAAGTTTTACAGTTAATGTGATGACATTATATTGCAGAATCTTGAGCTTGCCTACAGCTTTGCCGTATGCTGTTTGTGTTCACCATAGATCAGTTCCTATGAGAAATTTAAAACACGAGTTATTCAATTCAAGAGTATGTACAAGGTACACTTCAAACAAAATGTAGTAATACTTAATCTCAGATCAGGAATAGAAGCTATTTTACTTAGTACAGAAGAGATTTCAGCTGCTCATGATGTACACAATGTCACAAATAAAGGTAGAAGTAGCATCTGTCTTTCACAGACAGTAGATAACTCTTAGAGAAACTAAGTCTGCTGATTAGGGCAATTAGTTCAGAGAGGCTGTCTCTTGGCTTAGTAAAGTAAAAGACAGGAAACCTATGAACATTACCACAGAAACTCAGCTGTTTTGCATAAATCCGTAACAACTTTGACCAAACCCCAGATCATTCAAAGCAGGGCTTGATGGAAAGAACATCTCAATTTACTGAACTCATGAGATTACGCAGTTTCCCATCCCACACGTAAGCAGGATGCAGACACATCCGCACAGTTGCACTAGACCAGTCAGCAATCCGTTCCAGCTTCACGCTGGAAGCTCAGAGCCGTTTTTCCACATACAGCACGAAATGAGCCAAGCAGTTACAGGCTGCCATTAACCCGACTCACACGGGGAAACGAACACTCCTCGGATAAAAAGCTACGATAAGGCATCCCAGCCCAATCGATTTACTTACATTTTAGTCCTTCTTGGGTTTCACAGTTTTCACAGTGGCCATTGCCGCCCTCTCTGCTTCTGCTTTGTACTGAGGCTTCATTGCCGCTCTAACAACCTGGGCGCAGATCTGGGAATACCGGATGTAACTAAAGACGGGAGAGAAAAGGGAGGAGAAAACGAAGGTGAGACTCGAACGCGTCCCAAAAGCTCCTCCACCCCCTCCAGAAGCAGCGCTGTGACCCCGCCAGCCCTCCCTGCGAGGCCCTCGCCGTTGGCCGTTACAGTTATGGCAAGGAACGCGAGAGGAGCCCTGTCGCCGCCAGGCAGGTACCTGAGCCCCGCCTGTCGCCAGTACGCCACCATGGCTGCGGCTCCGAGAGACTCAGGGGCGACCAAGCGGCTCCGCTCCCGGGCAAGGTCAGCCCCCCCACCGGAAGGGGAAAGACCACAGCGCTTGCGTTCTAGCCAAATCCAATCGAAATCCGCATTACCTCAGAGAGGCTGACCAATGGCAACTATTCTCTCGCCCCTCCAGTCACAACCGCCCTCCCCTGGCAGTGACCAATCAGAGGGCTGAATACGGCACGAGACGCCCGGCTTTTACTCCCGAGGGGGCCCCCCGGCGGCATGCTCCCCTCCGCCGCAGGGAGGGGAGATGGAGGCACCGTGCCGGCCTGCAGAGCCCGGGTGCTGTCGTCCCCCAGGCGCAGGGATATGGTCAGCACCACACTACAGCGACGTGTTTCTCCCAGGCCCCCCCGGTGGGAACTGCTTGGGAAAGGTTCGGCGCTTTCCCTGCTTGGGAAGGTTTCAGCTCCGCCTCCAGGTGTGGCCAGCTGCGGCCTGCCTCGGGAGTCCAAAAAAGCTTGTGTCTGGGGGAATCTTCCGTGATTCAGAGCCGGTAATTTGCCAAAAACACAAATGCTACACGTCAGTTACCTAAAGAGCAGAAATTGACGTCTACTCTTCAGTGAGGCTAATGGCTCGTTACATGGCAGTTATGTTAGGTACCTATTAACTCATTCCTAAGTAGTACTGTTGTAATCTAAGAATCCATGCAAGTGGTTATAAAAGCATGCTTTTTTTACAGCTAAATCAGTTGTCATTACTTGTCTATGCCATCAGTTCTTAGCTTTTTCTAGATAAGACTGCAAAGAAGAAAATGGTTCACAAGCATGTGGAGGCAATGATTTTTATAACATGGACTGTCTTCATTTTGGAGCTTTAATCCACGTGTGGCCAAGCTGTGCCATATTCAGAGCTTTATCCCATTAGACATGGGATTCTTTTGGTTGTAAGACAGTTTATGCATACACCTGAAATTACATTCAATCATTTGCTCTAAACCAATGGATAAAAGACAATATCGCAAACTATAAGCTGTCATCATCTGTTTACACTTGATGGAAAAATAGACAAATTTCCACATATAATAAGCAAAAAGTTATGAGAAGACTCAAATCATATTTGACAAGGAATCAGTTTGGTCCTAATGTTCATCTAAATAATTAGGACTAAGGATTTAAAGATACTGGCTTTCTGTGAAATCCTTGCACTTAAGTCTGTATACCTCTTGTCTCTACTCCTCCTGTCCAGAGCCAAACCGCGTCACAAAATATGTAAGAATCCTCCAAAAGCTGCACAGGTTTTGAAGAAATGCTGGTGACTTTGGTCCTCTTTGCACAGAGGCAATGTGTCTTCCTGACGATTTTGGTGTCTGCTGAAGTGCAAATCCCTGGAAATCACACACTGATTTCACATCACTACACAGCGATGTTTTCACTTACAGTACATTTTTAAAACACAGAGCAATTTTCAACTTTGTTAGAGGAGATCTCACTTAGTCCAGAGCCATTGCAATTCACAATCCACACATCATAATGTCCGTATAGATCCACCAGAACAAAAAGAGCAATTGTTCACCAGATATGTCAGAGTCTGCCTCTGGGATAGAATATGACAGTAAGAGAAGATTGCCTATTAGTGTAATTAGTAGGAACACCAACCAGGAAGAAAGAGTGGGAAGATGAGAAGAATTTCCTGTCCTTAATTTGCCTACTTAATCTCTCTACTGAGGTGACTGAAGACGACTCTGGTTAGTGTCAGTTGTGATGGAATACTGAAAGTGGACACTTCAGGATGCTACATTACACTAGTTCCTTCCGTCTGGACCAACAATTTGTGATCTTTTGTAACTGCTAAACAACTTTGCTCCTATTGAATTTGGGGCTCATTTCTGAAATCCATATTTAATACAATCTTTCCTACTTAATTGTAAAGAAATTACTAGTATTTATACTAGAAAATAATTCTTCTTTTCATGCACTTATTTCCTTATTTATTTTTGTGCAAGCCCTTTTTGTCTTCCTAATTTTGAGACATATATGGCATATTGAGCAGAGCTTTCCAACTTGTAAAAATTAAATCAATTAAAAAATGTTTCTTATGACAGGTGGTGTTTTTAACACAGAAAGGGTGCCAGTGATACGATACTGAAACAAAACATCCTTGTTATCTAAAACCCCAACTATAACAATGATAAGAAAAAGATATAACAAAGTGCCAAAGGTGTAAGGAAGCCCCTCTCTGCTAACTATGCAACATATCTGATGTGACACAAGTAATCATGCTACTTACATGTATTGATACAGGGATGTTACATAAAAATGCTGGTTTAGTTGTAATGTCTGATTTGATAGGTAAAATAATTATCCATGAGATTATTTAAAGTCTCATGGGCAGCCCAGGCCACAAATACGGCTTGGCAGAAAAAAATCACGCTAGCAGAGGTGGACATCTTTCTTCCAGCCATGTGTCCCTCTGTTCCTGCCCCACACTTTCTCTGATTCTTCTCCTTACGCCCTGTCTCTCCCTTGCTCATTTTTCCTAGTTTTCCCACCACATCTTCTCTCTCTGTATCTCCATGTGAAATACCTCTGCCAGGAATTCTGTGCAGTGTACTCAGATTTAAATCCTAGATGTACAATTGAGATGCAATTATTTGCACAGGTAGCTCTCTTTACTATTTGTTGATCTTGAAAGATAAAAATTCAGCATAAATTTAAAAAGTTAAACCTTTGGGAGAGGTACCATGCTGAGACAGAATGAAAATTAGTGACAGCAATTGTGCTCTACAAAAATTCTAGAATGGATATTGATGTTTAGGCAGCTCTAACCAAGGCACCATTATAGCTTTGTATGACCTGTTTTCATGCCCAGTTCCGTTTTATACTAGGATATATTTGTAAAGTGCTAAACTTTCCTCAGATAAGAACTTTCAGAAACAGAAATTAAGAAAGAGCAAGGAGGAAAGTTTAGAAAGGTATAGAGAGGTTGCAGAGAGAAAAAGGAGGGGGCAGGAGAAAGAGATGTTAAGAGAGTTAGATGCAGAGATCAAGAGAAGCTGAAGCGGTGCGATTAGCAATATCCAGAAATGTGAGAGTGGATAGGTCTGGGGGAACTAAAGATGTGAGATTAGAAATGTCCAAAGAAACTGAGGAGGTGAGGGAAGAAGCATCCTGAAAGTTGAGATTGGAGACATCCAGAAAGGGTGTAGAGATGAGATTAGAAACATCCTCAGAGGCTGATGAGGGTAATTCAGAGGAGCCCTGAAACAAGAAATAGTTAAAATCGATGAGATCTAGTGATTCTGAAGAGGTTGAGGAAATGTGCTCTGAGACACCTAGTGAGGATGGAGGGATTGTACAGGAAAAGTTTAAGGAAGCTGAGGAAGTGTGACTGGAAACATCTAGGGAGGGTGAAGAAAGACTGGAGAGGTCTAGAGAGGGTGAAGAAGTAGGACTGGAGAAATCTGGGGAAGGTATAGAGGTGAGACTTGAGAGATCTAGGGAGATTGAAGAACTGTCGCCAGAGAGATCCAGAGAGCCTGATGAAGTGAGACTTGACAGGTCCAGTGAAATCGAAGAGGTGAAACTGGAGCGTTCCCAGGAATCTGAAGAGGTGAGACTGGAGAGCTCTAAGGAGATTGAAGAGGAGGTACTGGAGAAGTCTGAAGAGGCTGAAGATGTGAGGCTTGAAAGGTCCAGAGAAGATGAAGTGAGACTAGAGAAGTCCACAGATGATGAAGAGCTCAGACTGGATAAATCCAAAGAATCTGAAAAGGGGATTTTTTTAAAGAGTTCCAAGGAGGCTGAAGTCTTGTCACTGGAGGGGTCCAGGGACGCCACAAAAGTGAGACAAAGTAGGTCCAGGTAGATTGAAGAGATGACACTGAAAAGCCAAGTAAATCCACAACATGACTGTTGTTAAATCAGAAGTATTTTAAACTAAATATCTCTAATAAAACGTCAAAACAAAAAGATGTAATGAACCCAAATTGTACTGCTTTTGAAAATAACTAAGCATACAGTTTTAACCTTTATGTCTCTTAGTGGTTTCTCTTACAGTGCAGAAAACTCTAGTAATAAGAGCTCACAGACCTATTTAGAATATTTCTCTTTTATGGAGGATCAGTACAAAAGTACAAGTACAGTATAATACATACAGTAGTAGATGTTCTTCTGTCCTGGCATGTCTGTCCTTGTTCAGCCAGATTTTAGTATCTATGATAGCCTGACAAGAAATACCCTCCTGTCAAATGCCATCTTCCTGTCCTGAAGGTCTGGAATAAAATAATAGTTATGTAATAGAATGGAAATTGAAATGTTTTTGTTTTTCTTCTCCAGGTTGTAAATGACAACTACAGGTCAAACTGGGCCTCTGACTATAAAGGTATGAGGGATTACTTCCTTTTGATTCATAACATCTAACTAAAAAATGTGGATTTTGCTGATGATGCCAACAAAAATGGCAAAACAGTATTTTTCTCTGCAGCATATGCAGGATTTATTTTTGGAAGTTTGCAGCATGCTAAACTGATTCTGTCACTAAGAAATACACATTTTAGCAACATCAGTTCTACTTGTTTTTCAGATAAAGAGGTCTTATTTTATTACTTTTATTTTATACCTCTGAACATAAAGCCTGTACTGTAATAACAGTCATCTTTAATTTGTGGTTAGTTTGAATTGTTCAGTAAAAATACATTAAAGAAGTTCTGATAGAAGGCAGGCGTCTAGTTAGAAAGGGAATAGAACAGCTTGTATTTCAGTTCATAAAGGTGTATCTAATTATAATATGAGTAGATCAAGAGGCTGATCGACAGCTGCATTCTCTCGTCTCAAGACTGTGCTGCAAAGCAGAGAGTAGTTGAAACCTCCTGTTGTCTTTCCAGACGCAGGCACAGGAATGCACATAATGTTTTTCAGAGAGTCATCACAAAAGTATTTTATGGACCAAGAAAGTGAAAGATACACACATACAGGAGGCTGCAGCTTCTCAGATGAATACACCCAAGCTTCACC